GCCTCAAAGAATCGTCCCTTAAATTTTTTCACACTAGTTGTCGAACACCCTGTATAGATGGAGCATTAACTGAGCGGGGGAGTAAGATTCGCGGTAAGGGGATGGATAATGGTAAATCGGGTAACTTCCTTCCTTTTCGGTGCTATTCCGGTATACAATCACGTTACATAGACGTATGCTATGAGAGATGACAAGAATATACCTATTATACGTTAAAAATTCCGTGTGTCATGTAGTTTTTATAGATATATGTATTTAACAAAATTAATATATAATATAAAGCATGAAATAATAGTCTGCACACAGCCCACCAGCCATTAATAACGATCCGCATCGAACAGAATGCATCCGGAGCTAACCGACGTACCTCTAACGACCGCTGCCTTTTCCCCTCCAATCCTACGGTCGCCACGCCCAAAGTGGTAGCTTATGCTCCATCTATACAGGTTGTCCCAAAAATGTCCTCCGACCCGGAAATGGGGCACTCGGGGGGTGAATTGGAACAACTTTATCCTTAGCAACAATGTAAACTGAGGCTTCGTTACCGAGATATTAACGAAAAACCGCGACCAATCAGAGCGCGAGTTTGCCAGCGGAGTTGCCGCGCTAACGGTGGCTACGCGCTACGCTTGTACTACGAAGCTCCGAACAAGTAGGTCACCATGCATCGCAGGAAACCGCGTATAATAATAGCAAATAAACAAGACGTAACAAATAAAATCATACTTTTTATCATCTGTCGTTTGTTATTTAAAGAGATTAATGAATGAAACGTAAATGTAGGCAAATTATGTGTAACGTAAAAAGACGAATGCACATTTACATTTTTGTAAATTCCTTTTTACGAATTTGTAAATTTCCTTTTCAAATAACGTGTGAACGAAAAGGTAATGTAACAGAGAATAAACGAGAAGTGATCGTAATTTGGTATTGGTATAAAAATTCGTAGTTTAATAACTGTCAACAATGTTACTGATAATGAATAAGTTTCTTCAAAAAGCCCGAAGAAAAAGTTAGGTACAGAAACTTGCAGAATTATCGCCGGAAATAAGCCATAGCTTGCGTTAAATTATGAAAATAATAATCAGCAATAAATTGATTAGAACTCACCCTTTCGGAAATTCACCTGCAGTTTGCAAACCTGTGTCACTAGGTCACTGAACCGATCCTGGTCATCGACGGCCGAAACGGTTTATGGCAGGGTATCGCCCAGTTCGCATTTTTAAGCCGATGCACGTGATGTCTGTTTTCAATCTCGAAGGAGTAGGTACCCTGGCAATAAATTAACGGGCTACGGCGCCTTGGAGAAACTGCGCGACGGTCCTTTCCTTCCACTTCTGCAAAGCACGTGTTATCCTAGAACCGTTGGTTTGTTTCTACCTAAATCTTGTTGTGGTGGGAGTGAACTCACAATGTAACGATGGGAAACTACTTGGGGGTAGAGGAAAAATTCTGTCAGTCGGTTAGCAATCGGGCGATAGAGATGTTCAGTTCACGGGAGTATTACGCAATGTTATGGTGGCACGTACAGAATAACGGATATGCGGGTATTGCTGTGCAAGTGTTTGGTTACGTAAAACATCTGGAAAGTTGAAAACAATCGATCCTTTCCGGGGCCACGAATTTTCCTAACGTAATAACAACACGTTGGATTAAAAATACATTTAGTGATTGTGCCGGGTGATCATTGTTAGTGGTCGTGCAGTGAAGCGAGTACGTATTCTGTGGGATAACCAGGATGCACTTGTCGTTACAACCCTTAACTTCGGCTGGTGAGGTATACCTGCGAACTGTTTCGGCCGTCGATGACCAGGATCGGTTCAGTGACCTAGTGACACAGGTTTGCAAACTGCAGGTGAATTTCCGAAAGGGTGAGTTCTAATCAATTTATTGCTGATTATTATTTTCTTAATTTAACGCAAGCTATGGCTTATTTCCGGCGATAATTCTGCAAGTTTCTGTACCTAACTTTTTCTTCGGGCTTTTTGAAGAAACTTATTCATTATCAGTAACATTGTTGACAGTTATTAAACTACGAATTTTTATACCAATACCGAATTACGATCACTTCTCGTTTATTCTCTGTTACATTACCTTTTCGTTCACACGTTATTTGAAAAGAAAATTTACAAATTCGTAAAAAGGAATTTACAAAAATGTAAATGTGCATTCGTCTTTTTACGTTACACATAATTTGCCCACATTTACGTTTCATTCATTAATTTCTTTAAATAACAAACGACAGATGATAAAAAGTATGATTTTATTTGTTACGTCTTGTTTATTTGCTATTATTATACGCGGCTTCCTGCGATGCATGGTGACCTACTTGTTCGGAGCTTCGTAGTACAAGTGTAGCGCGTAGCCACCGCTAGCGGGGGAACTCGGCTGGCAAACTCGCGCTCTGATTGGTCGCGGTTTTTCATTAATATCTCGGTAACGAAGCCTCAGTTTACATTGTTGCTAAGGAAAAAGTTGTTCCAATGCACCCCCCGGGTACCCCATTTCCTGGTCGGAGGACATTTTTGGGACACCCTGTATATGTCTATGGTTAATTCTCCTTTCGTTTTTCGGCACACCCTCGCAAAACAAGGCACTGTCCTTTAGGTCCATAGCTGTACGCGTGTAGTGCCTCCATTACAAACGTAAGAGAATTCCCCACCAACGGTCCCATTAGAAGGGGAGGAAAGTCACTCCAGTTATTGTCCTCTTTTTCTAGTACCGACTTCATCCCTACCCATAAGACCGTGCAGCCTATTATACAGGGTATTTCATGTAACTTGACCACCATAAATATATCGCTTATTTTGTATGATAGAAAAAATATCAGTTGAGAAAATATTCTGTTCGAAGGCGCCAATACGGTGATGGGCCGAATTTTTTCCTCAAGGTCATTTTTTTCGAGATTTCAAGGTCATCGAATTTTTTTTAATGGGACTACATATTTTCACTACAACACTCTTATAGCATATAAAAAAACAAATCCAACGAGGTGCAATATGTTGACCTTCACGTGACCTTTAGCGAAAAAATTATGAAATGTTTGTCAGTATGCTCAGTACGCGTTCGGGGACGGTAAATGAAGGAATTTCAATTTCATTGGAACAGTGTACCGTGTAATTGTCCCTGGTGCTTGTAAACAGACATTCGTATTCTTCCTTCATCGGCTGAAGTATGTTTACAAGCATTATTATCAAAGCGGTAATCTTAGCAAGCGATTATCGCTTTACAATCAGTATCAGTACAACAAGGTACAGTATCGGTATCTCAGTGCTTATCCATCATGTACACTACAGCAGAAAAAGTTGAAATGATTTTAATCTACGGAGAAGCAGGAAGGAACTCAACGCATGCACAACGATTGTATGAAGAAAGACATCCTGATCTTCGCGTTCCTTCCAGGCAAAATTTTGACCGCATGGTAAAATTATTTACTGAATCAGGCAGTGTCGTTTCACCTAAAAGAAATCGTACTAAAACTAAAACAAACGAAAGAGCTGAAATTGCAGTTTTGCCTGCAGTACAAGCAAATCCTCATGTTAGTTGCTCACAGATTGCATCCGAGTCTGCCTTGTCTTGTACAAGCGTTTGGCGAATTTTGAATCGCAATAAATTCCATCCATACCGCGTTTCGTTACATCAAGCACTTGATGATAACGATTTTGAAAACCAACGTGTCTTCTGTAACTCGGTATTGAATCAAGTACAGAATAACCAACATTTTCTTGATTATGTGTTATTTACTGATGAGGCCTCATTCACGAATAAAGGGCAAATAAATAAGCACAATATGCATTATTGGTCTGTGGAAAACCCGGATTGGCTGAGACAAGTTCAGAATCAGCGACCATGGAGTGTAAATGTGTGGTGCGGTAGTATCAACCATCGAGTTATTGGCCCATTCTTTTTCGAAGGAACATTATTACAATGGTCAAAAATATGCAGATTTAAAAAAAAATGAATTATCCATATTGCTAGAAGACGTTCCGTTACAATATTGGTCAAGGATGTGATTTCAGCATGACGGCTGTCCAGCTCATAATGCACTCGTCGCACGCAATGTATTAGACAGAATTTCTCCCGATCGTTGGATAGGACGTGGTGCAAGAATTTGTTGGCCAGCTCGATCGCCGGATCTTACGCCACTTGATTTCTTTCTGTGGGGACACCTAAAAAGTAAAGTTTACAATGATGTTCCCACAACAGCAGAAAACATGCGACAAAGAGATCTACATGAATATAGGTCAATTACTGCAGAGCAACTTAAAAATGTGCAGCAAGAATTTATTTACCGCCTCCAAAAATGTATCCAGGTTCATGGTGCACATTTTGAACACCTTCTAAAATAAAGATTTAACTAAACACTCTTCGAATGAAATTGAAATTCCTTCATTTACCGTCCCCAAACGCGTACTGAGCTTACTGACAAACATTTCATGATTTTTTCGCTAAAGTTCACGTGAAGGTCAACATATTGCACCTCGTTGGATTTGTTTTTTTATATGCTATAAGAGTGTTGTAGTGAAAATATGTAGTCCCATTAAAAAAAATTCGATGACCTTGAAATCTCGAAAAAAATGACCTTGAGGAAAAAATTCGGCCCATCACCGTATTGGCGCCTTCGAACAGAATATTTTCTCCCCTGATATTTTTTCTGTCATACAAAATAAGCGATATATTTAAGGTGGTCAAGTTACGTGAAATACCCTGTATATGTCTATCAATGTCTATGCTCGATTGAACCCATGGACCTAGAAATTAGAAGACGGAGAGCAAGGTCCTATTCCTAGGTCGATAACAGAACCATAAGACCGTAGTGCCCTTGCTTCGTGGCAAAGTTCGAAAGTACACTTGGCGTCTTTAAGGGATCATCCCCTCCACGGGAGTTTCCAGCTTGTGTATGCGACGTGATTTAAACGCTACGAAATTAAATATGGCTGATGTTTTGTTTGTGTGTATCGACAATGTTGTGTTGCTTTCTTTAGTTAATTTCCCAGTGTAATCATACGTATCGCTCGTTCAAAAATTAGAAAAAAGATGAACGCCACGAGTCTTTACGTATCAACGTGTCGATTAGTTTTACAAGCAGACGCTGATGATCCAAATTCGTGGACAGATCTATATAGGCTAGTTCCGTATTTGCGACAGAGCCTTAGCTGTACTGTGTGTTCAAATTTGTTAATTGAACCTCATACACCAACTGAAACTAATTGTCAACATCATGTGTGTCGTGGGTGTAGGGGTGGACGTAAGAAACTTAAACCTTCGTGTGGTTGGTGCAAGGACTACGACAAATATGTCGAGAATGTTCAATTACGAATATTGTTACAGTGTTATAAAAAACTGTGTGAATACTTGACAAACACAAACATTTATCGAAGTTTAATACTTTCGGTGTCTTCCAATAAAACAGGCAATAGTGCATCTGCTATTGGTGTTACCAGTCTTATGGAACTTATACAAGAAGGTTCTGGCTTCAAAGATGAGTTTAAAAGTACTGCTGGTTTGTCAAAGTCTGCGTACAGTATTTTACCATGTGTTTACACAAGTACAACTTCAACCCAGACGCAAGGAAATACTATACAAACTCCCGAAACGATATCACAAAGTATACCTGGTATAGTATATTGTTTGTCTATGTATAAACAAATGAATTCTCAGTATTTATATTATTATTTTATTGATGTAAAATGTAATATGTGAATAAGACACTTTTTGAACACTTATAGTGCTTGAAAACACAAACATGATAATAAAGAAACTAATCTTTCTTCATTAATCTTTTGCTTATTTATTACCATTTAATAAAATAATATATGTATTTACTTTTTATACTTTGATATAGTTTTACTTTCATAATATGAATATGTGATGTCTTAATTTACTATCAATGTAATAAAATATGGATTCATAAACGTAAAGTATGGAGAAATAGTTGTACGAGTATTTTTAATTAGTGACTATTTTTTTATAATTTTGTATAATACTAAAATTTTTTAACTATGTTTAAAAGATGACTATTATGCAGTGATTATTATGCATTTAAAATTTTACATTCAGAGTCAAAATCACAACTTTCAATTATAATTATTTATGCGAATAAATTGTTTGTCGAAATCAAACATTAAGAAGCTTCATACACAAAGACATCATTTATTAAAATTAAAGATATGTGAAAAACAGATTATTTTACATTTTTTTCTTCTAATTTATGAAAAGGAGAAAATAACAATTTATTACCTTGTATTTAAAAATGTTTGAAGACTATTTGCATACATGAATATAGCAGTATTTTGTACTTGTAGATTAAATTGTTCTGAAGTAAATAATGTGATTCTTATAATATGTAAGTCAAAATCACTACATGAGAGAAGTTTAATGTAGATATATAATAAATGTTGACACATTTGCTACTACTATACTGCTGGAAAATTAAATACTACTGTCTATGTTTTGATTTTAGCTAATTTATTTGTCATATGACTGTGACTTTTAGTTCTTATGAGAATCAGCAGTATTTACTTATAAATATTCATCTATCTTTTACATTAAATAATTTTTCTGTAGCTTTTATACTACAAAATAATTCAATTTGTGTATTTAATCTAAATATAATACTTCTACATTTACACAAATAATCACAATCTAGGTAAACTTGTAAACATATTCAAATAAGGTCTGTTGTTGTTATTATTATTGCTATTATTATTAGATATTAACCCCTTGCATTATAACATCATGTGATACTTGTGGTATGGAATACAGCTCAAACATAGGAAACACGCATCAGGGTCATGGAATGTTTACCAAGCCAGTGATTTTGTCACTGACTGTGGCCTGCATTGGTTGCGACTTAAATAATAGTGCAAGGGGTTAATATATAGAACCTATAATTTGTAAAAATAGTAAACGGAAACTATATTAAATTATAAAGTGTATTGACAATTATTACATTACCCATAGAAACTAATAATTAAGTGTAAAGTTGTGAAAAAGGTGATTGTACAAAATCTTTTTTATCATTTCACAGGCTATTAAAGGAACACGATTGAAAATTTTGAGAATATATAATATTTGCTAAGAGGAATAAAGAGTGCTTTGACCAATACTTTTTTTTCTATTTATGCCATAACATATTATGTGTAAATGAAGGAAGTTAGAAATTATTTTAATGAATGTTAAACAATATTTAATCAGACATTTCATAGAAAGTGTTAAATTTCTTTAATTTTGTTTTTAAATACTTATAGAATTTGTTAATTTTGTGTAACTAGAAACAATATCTCCTACAACATGTGGTCTATAAAAGCAAGTTAGTATTTTTGATATTAAAACATATATACGTATAATCAATATTATGGGAATAGTGATGTTGCAAATTAAGCGATGGGAGTGAAAAAACCGATCTGAAAAGTCTGCTAAGGAGGGGTCAAAGGGTCATCATGTACAGTATTTTTTAAATATTTCAAAACTTTTTACCAAGGACTGACTATGAATGAAAATGCTTTGTTCAACTCTGAATAAGGTTTTGTTTCTTCATCTTTCTCTTCAACCACTTATGTTAATAATTAAAATATACTTCCTGTTTACAATCTTGTTTCATTTACAACTTCACTATTTTTCTAAATTAATCAAGTAGTTTGTCCCTTTCTTTTGGATATTAAACTAAATATTATAAAAAAAGTAAAATTGTTTTTTCTCTTTATTTACTTTATTTTATTGAAAAGCGACTATTATCTGAAAGATTCATACATTTGCTCTAAAGTAATTAAAAGTGCATGAGGAAAACAGAAAAAAATATCATTTTGATGAATAAACTTTGTTTATACATTGTACAGAATTACCTGCTATTCGTACTGTATCAAATGGATCCTCAATATACTCTGTGATGTATGCTGGGTCTGGTAACAAAATAACAATAAAACGGAAAGCAGCTGCTGTGGAAGATACAGAAGTAGGACAACAGGATTTGGATGGAAGTCAACACAGCTCTGTAGGAGGGGTAAAATGTATTCCATCTTCCCACCTTAAATATGGGACCCCTTCTCAGAAAAAATCTTCAAAGGGCAGCAAAGTAATTTCAATAAACATTCGATTAATTTTATGCCTTACTGGATGTTTACATTGCACTATAACTTTTATATGAATGCTAAACGATGTGCATCCTCATTAATATTACTTGTAAGGTACAATCATATTTCTAGATTTGGCTAACAATTAATAACTTTTAAAAATCCATACTTAATTAACATTCAACATTTTTCATTACTAACATTAGATATAAATAAATTTTACACATATATATTTTATAATAGGTCCCATACGAAGATTAATGCAGATAAATGATTTCATGCCATTTTTATCATATAATATTCCCTGTAGTATGTATTTACCAAATATCGTGCTTACATCTGCATTAGTCTACAATTCTTATTTTTATTTGAACTTTTCGTAATAGCCAACAGTAATAGAACTCGTTCTGTTTTGAGCAGTCGTCAGGTTTTAAAAAACCAAGGTCGAGTTCTGCGCGGAGTAAGAGAAAAGGGTGTAGATGTGGGAATGCTACAGCAATACCTGGAAAACTAACTTGTTGTGGTCAACGGTGTCCCTGTTATGTTGAAAGTAAACCTTGCGTGGAGTGTAGATGCAGAGGTTGTAGGAATCCTCACACAGCAGATGGATTAAAGGTAAAATTCTTACAATTAAATAATTTATGTAGCTGAACTTAAAAGTTTCTTTGAGTATTTATCATTTCATATTTTAGATTCGGCCACATATACCTGAGTTACATAATTTACAGTTACAACTATCAACACCATTGGACTGCGATACATTAAATTCAGATCCATTAGGATCAGTACCACAATGCCTTTCAACTTCTCCAACAACAATTCAAGTATTAAATGTTTATTCAACACCGAGATTAGATATCGATAACGTACCACAAAATCTACCTGCCGCCTTGTTAGTAGGAGAAGATGCTATGATTAGTACTGAAAGTGAAGCTGAAGACAGTGATATACAAATTGATGTGTGATAATTCAAATGTTTAATATATTAAGGTATGTAGTATGAAATTCATTATTAAGATATTAAATAATAAAAACACTAAAATCAATCTTTCTAATTGCAGACCAATCTGTCTATTATTGAAATAAGAAGTTATGGTTTTTAATCTATAATTATATTATATTACAAAATAATAAATATATTTTTATCACTCATAAATTATCTGTATTATGGCATTTTAAAAAAAATTAGAAAGCTAAGTTTGTGTAAGTATAAATAAATTTATTTCCAGTGTGAAAGTAAATATTTTACTCCATTTTTTATTTGTAACATAATTAATCATTTTTTACTACATTTTATACTTCGTCTATTCTCTATTTTAATTATTCTTTTCCTTGTTTGAGTTTAGCTTATACATATGTCAATTATACTTTTCTCATTTTTGAATTACCAGCACTGAGCATTATGTCATTACCTCTTTGTCAATGTACATGTTGTGCCATACATTGTAGTTGCTTACTATTACACACTTAAAGTATGTAGGATCAAAAACGAAACATTTTAAATGTTTATACAGGATATTTGATACCAAAATTTGTAAATTAGTGAATAAGATAGAAACTAGCATTTAACCATTTACCTCTTTGTTTACCATAAATAAGTAATTTAGTTATGTCCCTTATTGCTGGAGTTAGAACAAAATATTTAGTGGTTCTACAAATTTTATAAAAAATGGGAGACAGAAGGATCATTTTTCTAGAGGACTTCTTTTATAACTCAAATCTTATAAATAAAATTATTTTTTCTCGATGAGTTTATCTGTTTTTTAAGCTTGGTCACGTTAAAATCAATTGAACAAATTAATTTATAATTATATGTCTCGCTGGTAACTAAATAACTTTTAATTATGTACATAGTTTATAAATTATATTTTATATCTACAGTCAATGTAAAAAATTAACAATTTTTAATTTAAATGTATTTGGCATCTTTTTGTTGTATTTTTAATGATTATTAATATGTAGTACATCATATAAACAACAATACAACAGTTAGCTTTTAATTACATTTACAGTAAAATATAGGATATTGGCGAATTTGCGATATGACTTGAAAGGGAATGTAACAATAAAAATGATCATTTTTTAATGAGAGACTTCATTTCCAACCGTTTATCTGTTTTCCTATTATGCAAGTAATACCCCTTTTCTGTGGATCTTACACTATGTTACAGGGGTAACCATTATTTTATATCAGGTTATTGTAGAAAACTGATAATACAATAATACTGCCACTGTTTATAAATGTTAACACAAATCAAATAACAAATAATGAATATATATTCAAATCTATACATATACCCAATTAAATATTCATTATCGATTTACTTAAAAATTAAGCTTATTCTTAACAAAATTTCATTCTATATTTTCAATTTTCATTTACATGTAAAATGACCAGAGGTGGGTAGTATGGGCACCATCGACTAAAAACTATCAACTAAGTCAATAGTAACCAACGACTACTTTCAGTCGACTAACTTTTTCAATCGTCGACTACTTTAGTCGATTAAATTTAGTCGCTTCAAGCGACTCGCTCGAACTATCGAGCTATTGATCGCTATTGACTGGATCTTGATTATTTTCTTCGGGATGCAAACCAATTGCAATTTTTTCATATATTTTTTTATGCACTATCAAGAACTGTGCAAATTATTGCTTATGACCTAATTGATTTACATAAAAAATTTAGTGCAGTTAATTTTTTAAGTGCCAATATTAAACAGCTTACAAAAAATCGAATAGTAGTAATTGTTTAAATAAATTTGTTTACGACTTATATTTTTGAAATTCTATCTATGAACTAATACATTTCTAAAAGGTAAATACACTAATGGTGCTGAAAAATTAACGACATAATCTATACATAACCTATAAAGCAAAATTTCAGTCGCCTAAAAACTATCGACTAAATAGTCAATAGTATGTTGCGACTAAATAGTCATTAGTCGATAGTTTAATTTAGTCGATGGTGCCCATCACTACAGATGGGTACGTATTTTATATCATGTCGTAAATGCGTTTACGACATGCCGTATATGTATGTACATATGTAAGTATGTATGTCGTACGTATAATATGTATATCGTTTTTGCGTCCATTTTATACGTGTCATTTGTCGCAAATGTTGTATACAGGGTGTTTCGTTTACCTGGAAACGGTGGAATATCTCACGAAGGATTAAAGTTACCAAAAAAATGTTCGTACAAAAGTTGTTTGGTACAAAGAGGCACAGTACATGGTATAAATAATTTTTCTGTAAGTGTAGTAGGGGGGAGATATCAAAGTCAAGTTAATTTTTTTAAATGGAACCCTGTATCTTTTTATTCATATTATGATAGTGTTTGTTGAGACGAATACAATGAACTGCCACATTATATCATTCCCTGTAGTAGGAAGTGATAAATTAGTAAGATTTTAAGAAGTCAGTTCAACGCAAATCGCCTAGTTGAACCCTACGTGACGAAATAGAAACAAACGATGAAACAAATGAAAACTGTACGTGTTTTGTTTTCAACAAAGAAATGGCCAACACTCTTAAACCTTAAAAAAAAATTGACTGTTATTTTCAGTGTTGGCCATTTCATTCTTGAAAACAAAACACGTACAGTTTTCATTTGTTTCATCGTTTGTTTCTATTTCGTCACGTAGGGTTCAACTAGGCGATTTGCGTTGAACTGACTTCTTAAAATCTGACTAATTTATCACTTCCTACTACAGGGAATGATATAATGAGGCAGTTCGTTGTATTCGTCTCAACAAACACTATCATAATATGAGTTTTTGTTGCGAGTTTATCGCGGGCCGCGTCGTTCATTAGATTGAACCGACCGCCCTTTTTTTTTTTTTTTTACGCGGAGGAAATGCATTATGCACACCTCGGAGTCCTGGGGTAGGACTCCGAGGTAGTGTGGGACTCTCGCCCACTAAAACCCCCGCGACAGCCTGCTCAGGCGGAACTCGGCGGTGGCGGGATCTCGTGTGAACGCACCGCCACCGCCTCGCCTGTGCCCCCCTTATCGTGGAGCCCGTTCCGTGGGGGGCGATCGTATCCTCCCCAGGGGGTGACCGAACCCCGGTCACCCCCCCTTCTCTACTCCGCCGATGTCAGAGAGCTGCACTCTGACGTCGGCACTAACGAGCCGCTTTGGATGCGGTCGGGGACCCCACCCCGACCGCATCAGCGGCTCCGGCGGACGCGCACGCAAAAGCGGGAGCCACAGGAGCCGAAGCTCCGGCTCCCGATGTCCACGCACGCGTCCGCCCATACACGCAGGCCTCGCCTGCCGGAGAGCGAGGAGACGCCTACTCTCTCGCCCCTCCTCTCCTCCTCTCTCGACGAGCGGGATCGCGTGTCTCGCGGTCCCGCTCGTCGTCCTCCTTCCGCGAGATGACGGTCTCGCAGAAGAAGGACACCGCCCTCCACGACCTCTCGCTCCCCACCATGGCCGCAACCACGGCCGGGAGCGAGAGGTCTCCCACTACCCCTGTACGGAGTGCCCGTCTTTCCCTGGCAAAGGCCGGACACTCCTCCAGCACTGATGGCACTCTGCCGTCGCCTCGGCTCCTATTTTCCGCAGGTACTCACCGAAGCATCCATGCCTGGTGAGCACTTGCGTGAGCCGGTAGGTCAGCCTGCCGTGCCGTCGGTCCAGCCATCCATCAAGGACGGGCAGGACCGCGCCCACGGCTCGCTGCCGGGCGGCGCCGCTGTCAAACAGCTGGCGCCGCCACTTTTCGCGAGCGAGCCGCCGGCTCTGGCGCTTCAACGAACTGGCGTTTCGACCGCGTCGTCCGGCGGGTCGACCCCGTTCCGGCGGAGGCTCTTCAAACACCGATATATATCGGCGTCAGCCTCCGCCTGGAAGTCGAAGGGCACGACCCCTGCCAGGACGGCCGCCGCGTCGTGGGAGATGGTGCGGAAGCCCCTCACGACCCTGATGGACATGCGGCGCTGTATGCGCCGCAACAGCTGCCGGCCTCGCCGGCGGGCCATGAGGGCGTCGGCCCATACGGGTGAACCGTATAGGGCCATGGCCCGCACCCCCCCCCCATGTAGAGGCGGCGTACCTTCTCTTCTGATCCCCCGAGATTGGGCATCAGACGACCCAATAGGGTCGTCACGCCCTCAATCCGTGGGGAACAGGCGGTCGAAGTGTTCCTCGAAGCGCCAGCGGCTGTCCAGGTCGAGGCTGAGGTACTTCCTTCGGCCCTCGACCCAGACACAGGCGTCTCCTACACGGACCCAGGCCTGGGGGACTCGCCGCGACAGAGGTAGCCCATGGAACATGACTACCTCCGTCTTTGGCGGCGAGATCTGTAACCCCAGGTCCCGGATCCGGGCGACGACGAGTGCCGCTCCCACCTCCGCCAGCTGAATGGTCCTTGTCCACTCCCTCCCGACCGCGATGATCAGCGTGTCGTCTGCATAGCAGACGACACTCACACCGGGCGGGAGGGGCCCACGCAGAACCGAGTCGTACCCCAGGTTCCACAGCAGGGGTCCCAAAACGGACCCCTGGGGTACGCCACGGTTGACCCTCCGTCGCACGATCGTGCCACACCGGCCAGGGTAGTCGATCGCCCTCTCTGACAGGTAGTCCAGCAGCACGATCCGGAGATACGGAGGCACCCCGTGTTCGCGGAGTGCCTCCCGGATCGTGTCCCAGCGGATGGTGTTAAAGGCGTTGGCGATATCGAGAGACATCGCCAACGCCACACCACCGCGGGAAACTGCCTGGCCCGCGAGGGAATGGACATGGTCAATCGCATCAAGCGTTGACCTTCCCTCGCGGAAGCCATACTGGCAGTCTGCCAGACCACCGCCGGACACGCTCCTCGACAGGCGGGCAGCGAGCACACGCTCGAAAAGCTTGCCCGCCTCGTCGAGGAGGCATATCGGCCGATAGGCGGACGGAGAGTCCGCGGGCTTCCCCTTCTTCGGGACAAGGACCATCCGGCCCCGCTTCCAGGGCAGCGGGACCCGCCCCGACATCATACAGCTGTCAAACAGCCGAATGAGTCGGGGCCCGAGGACGCGTGAGGCCAAGCTCAGCGCCCGCCCGGGGATGCCGTCGGGCCCCGGAGCCTTGTTGG